TGGATGATTTGAGAAAAGCCTAAGTCTATGAATATGGTTTTAAGAAAACCACATAGTCTTGCAACGTCTATTAAGTTTTTATGAAATTCATTTTAAACTGTCATACTATTATATAACTATTGCTTGTGAATGCATATATATATATAAAGTCAATTTTTTTTATTAAAAAGAAAAACATTATGTCTTGAAGGTATTTATATTAGTGGGAGAAAAACTATCATGCACTATTTTTTTAAATACCTATATGTCTTGACCCATGTTTCTAATTATTTAGTATCCTCGATTACCTAAGACTTTGAACAATAGGGAATGTTGTAGAAATGCCATCATGCTGGGCTTCTCTGACACATATTGTGTTGATTAAATAATTTGGTTTGTATGAATTTACTACCAAGATGTCTAGTGTGGTTGAACCTTTGTGGTTCATAAAGGTTTTTGCATATTGTGAAACCAACGGGTATTGAATTATATATTGCATGAGACTTGATATGCTACCTTATGATATATGCATAAGAATGTTTAGAATGTATATGTTGTATGTGCAATAATGGAGTGGGAGCTGCTACTGTCTCACGTTTTGTTAGCTGCTTGGATATTCAGATATACAGGTGCAAGCTGTCTCACATATCCAAATATCTCACATATCTCACATATCTCACATATTTGGATATGTGTTCATGCTTGGAGGGGGTGCAGTTTCTTGGAAATCAAAGAAATAGGGTGTGACAAAATTGTCCACCATGAAGGCAGAGTACGTGGCGTGCTGTTTGGTGATCGAGGATGCCGTATGGATTAAGAAATTTCTTAATTGACTTGACTTTCACCTCATGCATTGTGAGACAGTAAGAATTTTCTGCGATAGCACGATGACGATATGCGTGTCGAAGGAGCCACAATTCCATAGGAACTCCAAGCATATAAACCAATGTTTTTATCACCTGAGGAATGAGGTGAGACTGAGAAATATCTAGATCCAAATAAATTAAATATTCTAGTGGGAGCACCTGCTAGTATTTGACATGCCAAATGGAACAACAGACTATAATGTTGTTCACCCATAGAACCCAAATGTTTGGTGCTGGTTGTATGACTACAAAAAGGAGCTGCTTATTTGAAAAACTCTTTTGAGCCCGTGAACATACGACCCCATGTGATGAGGGTACGTGATGGTCTTTTGCGACAACAGGCCCACGATTCGCGATGTGATGTGAAAGATGAGCTACAACCATTTTTGGGATGAGATCCGAGCAACAAAGAGAAAAATGTGTTACTTCTATAAATCCTTTTGCGAAAGGATTGATGGAGAAAACCATGATTAATGTATTGAGAGAATAAATTTAAATACTTGAGAGAGTTTGTAATTAGGAGAGAGAGATGAGAATGAGAGAAAGTGAGAATGTAAGACCTTCAAAGGCCAAGTGGGAGATGTTGGGTTCATGTGGCCTTCAAAGGCCTTGTGAGTGCATGTAAAATGAAATGATATAATGGAACATGAACTCAGTGGGAGTGTGATCCCTCATGGGCCATACTAAGCAAACGATGGTTTGCTGATACTGATCTGTGCTTAACGATTTAGGTCAGTCGGTTGGAAAAAACCTATGTTACATGGGCATGAAGAACAAACCAATGAGGGTTTATGGGTTAGCCCTTGATGAGGTCGGAGAACATGCCCGGATGAGTGAGCCGAGGGATTGTGTGACCCTTGTGTGTGATGATGGCCTATAGAAACAAGGGCCAAAATCTCATCCATGTATTATTACACGGCATGCAAATTGATAGATTGTTCGGGAAAGCTAGAAATCTACCTTTTAGGGTGAAGAGTATGCATGTGCGAGAGATACCTCTATGAACCATAGGAGCTATGGTCGCATCAGGTCTAGGTGACATTGACTCGTCTCTAGGAGAGGACCTAAAATCCACAGATTGAGATTGCGATCCCTTGGCTCATCGATCGGACTTTGGTGACCCGTTAATGAGCCCCTGCTTGGACTGTGGGTCATGGGAAACACTGGTTGGTCTGATAAAGCAAGTGTGGTCTGTAGTCCACAATCTGTGCCCCGTGATTATTGATTCCTAAACCATATGAATCATTTTCCCATCAAATTAATTTAATTGTGTTTGTTTTATGATGAAAATTATTTTAAGAATATTATTTGAATTTTAATGAACTCCTGAATATTTTATTTATAATTTTTCGATTTATAAAATTAAAGATATTGATTTTACCATTATTTAAATATTCAAATAATATTCTAAAATCCTTTTATTAATTTTAAATATATAAAAATATAATGGGGGCCCATTGTGCATATGGGCCTGCCATTTTTTTAGAAGGTGGGGCCCATGAGTGCCTGCCTTGGGTGGCACGCCCCACTCTTATTCTCTTTCCTATTTTTTTATGATATGGCATGCAGCCATATGGTTGGAAGATATTGACTAAATACTGACTTGATATATCTTTGAAATATTTTGTGGAAAAATTGAGTAGACTTGTGCTATTTTATAGTATGCACAATATTTTGATTAGATTTATTTTATTTAATTTCTAATGATGAGAAAATGGTTTAGGAAAAGGGGATAATGGTTCCGGCACTTTACATAATGTTGAAGGCCCATCTATGGAATTGATGGCCCAAATCTCTCAACCTACAAGTCACCTTTGATCGACAATCTATGTTCAGTCTCACAAGAAGTGGCAAGCCAAAGAAAACCCTAAGAAACCCTAATCTTAGTCAAAGACTATAAAAAGAGATTGTCTCTACCAAAAAATCTCTACACCTTATCTTTCTGTCTCTCTCTCTTAAGAATGTTTATCTCTCTTTCCCACATTGTGAAAGAACCTAAGGTTTTAAATTATGGAGTTCTTCTCTCCTATCTCTCAAATACGGATTTATGGCTAAGGGTTTTAGGGTTTAGCAAAAAGAGAATCCTTCTCTCTCAAATTAGGTCCCTAAGAGAATTCACCTGGGTTTGAGTTTGTGATCAAAGGGGTTCATGTTCTATTGGTGTGGCTTCGCCGAAATTTGTTTTCCCGGTTCGAGATTGCTAGACCGTTGATCCAGCGCCATCGGATGGTGGTGACTCGGTGTGAGGTGTAATAAGCCCGGTTGAGGTATCCGGCACTCTTCCTTTTGTTTCTTACAATCTTATCGTTTATTCTCAAGCATAGTGCATAGTTGTTTCAATGACATCAGGTTGCTAAGATCTTGGTTTTAATGTTATGTTAATTTTATTTTGAAATTTATCTTATTATAATAGAGACCACATGTAAGTGATTTTTGCTAAAAGAAAGGGCATGAAGAAGTTGATATATTTCGAACAGAAAAAGTTTATATAGAGCCGAGGCTCTAAACAATCAAATTAGAGCCTAACTCAAAAATTTCACCAAAAGAGGTTGTTTTGATGCCCAAATATCCTCAAATAGATCATTTTGACGTCAAGATGCATGGACATGAAAAAAAAATTGATTTCAAGTTTTGAAAATAATGTATTTTGTAATGCATTTTTGGACTGTCAATTTTCAAGATTTTCAACTTTTTATAGATATGTTGATATATACTATTTTTGAAGCTTTAGACTTATAAAAAAAAGATGAAAATATATTTTATCACAGATTTCCAATATTAAAACCACATTTTTCAAGACTATTTAAAGGTAGGCTCTATACAAACCGCACCCTATTTCTGATGGACAAGAATATACTCCTTTATATCTTTATTCATGGTCAGGCGCATTGTGCCTGAAGGATAAAAGCAAAAGTCGCTTCATACTTAACTGTATTAAATTTATTCGGAGTACGAAATCACACAATGAAATAAAAATCAAGTTACTGAACGGAGAAACAGAAATTTAATTTGCCATAACAAGGTCAATTCATAACGAGAGATAGAGAGAGTGAGATAGATTAAAATGGGAGCTGCATTATTTGCAATTACATTAATTTCAGTAAAATAAACCTACACAAATAACTAGCTAAAGCTCAATGTGAACAACGGAGACAATTCTATGAAAAGCCTAGAGAAGGGGGGTAAGGAACATCCATCTCCAATATTTGCACTGATCATTCGTGTTTAAAACCAACTAGAAAATTAGAGTGTAATCTCAAATTAAATCCTCCTTGTCGGAAATGTCGTCCTCATAAGGGACAATAATTAAATTCATTATCTCAGTCTCGCTGACTATGGATTTGCAGAAAAAAAGGAGTGATTTCAAGTCAATCTTGACTATCCATTCTGAGGAATTCAGAGATGTGCACCATTTTTTAAACTTCAATTTCAAAATCAAAGCCAAGGTTTTGAAGTAGGGGTTTACTTTTATCCTAAAGATGGGGCTAACCGCACCCAGTGATATCTTCCAAAATATAATTAAGCTGATCTATGGCAAAGGAAAATATGATGGCTTCCCTTTGATTCCATCCCATTAAAGAACAGCTTAATTCGAGCTCTATTTTCTTGATGTTATCTGCAAATATAACATTATCATCATCGGAGCTTTATCCCGGCTACTTGGGGACAAGAGCCTGCAAAGACAAAAAAAACAAACTTAAATGGCTGAATTTTGAAATTTAAGCAAATTAATACAAGTAATTGGTGCAATTAAGAGATTTAAGAGATCCAAAAGTATTTTGATCAAGAGAGTGCGGCCTATTCATAAGCAGTAAATCGAAGCATCAACACATCAGGAAATAAGCCATGGCCTTCTCTCTCCCCATTCATCAAGCTTTCTGAATCTTCAGACGATGTGCAAACACTACGAGAGGCTACCCATGAATAAGTTGCACTATCTTGAACAAAATTTATTTGGGTCTTCAAATCTCCAATTCCCCACATTAATCAAAAGTGAGAGAATTGGGGTGACCATTCCAACAAAAACAAAAAATAAAAAATAAAAAGTAAAAAAAACGAAAAACAGAATTAGCTTGGGGTGACCATTCCAACAAAAACAAAAAACAATAACAAAAAAAAGGAAAAAAAAGCGAAAAAGAGAATTGGGATTTTGGGGGGTGTTCACATGTTGATGAGAGAGAGAAGGGATGTTGAATGTGCATGTGTAGAGAGAGAGAGCTTTAGTTGTGGAGCGAGACTGGCAGGGACGCCTTAAATAGCCAAAGGCAAATTCATATTACACAAACAAAGAGATTTGTTTTTCCTTACGTAATTGATGTGATGATATATGGGAATCAGAGTGCAGAGGTAAGGCACCAAAAAAGGGATCTGGTGCACTGGTTCCTGGCTCTTCTTTAAACATGAAAAACTTTGAATCCTAATGAAAAAATGGGAAAGAGTTGGCGAAATTATTGAAGGTAGTCTGATGGTTAAAAGTGGAGATGAGCTTCTTTTTAGTGAAACATCGATCGGGACCTGGGGTTTTACCAGGTGGGTTTGAACGTCTGAACTTAAATCGGAGTGGTGGTTTTGGGGTTGCGTCAATGAAGAGTGTTTACCTTACATAGTAAATCTCCTCTGGATATTTCTATTAAAAAGTGGTCTCTCTCTCTCATTATTTCAGTAAAAGTCGATACCATTACTCATTGAGACTAATGGAAGAAAGATGAATTCTCTCTCTCTCTCAATGGTGATCCTCTTTAGAGAAATGGGCAAAAAGAATTTAGGTTTATCAGAGTGGCGTAATTAAAGAGTTTTTCCTCAACTGTAAACCCATTGTTCATAATACTTGCAAAATGTAAATGTGGTGATTGAGTATAAAAGGCCGCAAAGAATTTTCATCTCTCTCTCTCTCTGATATTTTTGAGGCATGTGCAATTTCTTAAGAGTTCGAGTGCATCTACGTGGGCAGTCTAGTGTAGGAGGACATTATAAACCCTAGAAATGGTGTTTGTTTCTTCGTATTGAAACCTCTTACCCCCATTTGGAAACATGTTCCGTTTTCTGAAAATTAAATTTGGGTAGAGTATTAAAGGTAACATTTCCATTAATAAACCCACATTCACTTTTTTTGCTTTTGGCGTGCGTCGCCTTTCAAATTCATGGAAGATCAGGAATCACACTCTTCTCTTCTTGCAGTCAATTACCATAATGACCCCTCGTTTTTTTTTTTTGACCACTAGTCCTCTTTTAATTTGGTGGACTATGATTAGGGTAGTTTTTCTTTTTTTTTCATGCCAACATTATTTCATGATGATCTCCAGGCATAAGATATCCCATTAGTTCCCAATGAACAATATTCAACAATTGACAATTAATCTTGGCCTTTCAATATTGGAACCAACGGTTCGTGCCTTCACCGATAATATATACAATAATGCAAATACCACTTTTGATTAGTTTTAAGGAGGTGACCAGGCTCATAGTTCAAATTTTTTTTTTTCAAGCTTTATTACACAATGCTGAATTGCATATCTCATGACTATAGGTGATTTGTGACCTTATACCATAAGAATACAACCTCATAATGTAGAACTCCACTATTCTAACCAGATGAATCACACCCAACTTGACCATGCGTGAGGGATCTCGTCCATCACATCCACATTAGAAATCCATATGCCACTTGTTTGGTGCACCACACAATAATGGACAAGATGAACTTGGTTCCTCTAAGTATCTTGTTCACTTTTTATTATTACTCTTGTTATACCTGATGTTCGCTTAAATTAAAACGAATAGGTATTGTTAAGTATTCATTTATAAAAGACATTGTATTCTATAAGTTAATTCACCATTGTTACAAGGTCATGGTCACTCCTAACTGTTAGATGACGAATTGGATAGTTTGGGATGTATCACAAACTTCGAAAAAGTTTTTTGTGAAATTTGAGTTTAGTCAATGATACACTTACAGTCACCCAATTTAAAATCAGACAGACACGATTGATTGTGGACTAAAAGTAAAATGGTATCTATGCATACCTTTAAAATTGTTTCATGCAGGCTACACCGCATGACTACATATTTTTTTGGGTAAGTCAGTGGGGAAGAAGGCACCCTACCTGAATTTTTCATTAATAGGACAAAGAAGAAAACATTATTTTACAACCCTATAATAGGACAGTTGCTCCAAATCATGTAATAATAGAAGAGAAAGAAAGTCTGGTGGACGATGGCCTCAAATTGTTGCACCTGCAGAAGCCGATGCTTTCTTAGCTAGAGCATTAGCGACCATATTCGCCTCGTGAAAAACCTTGAGAAATATTCCACATATGTGCCGAGAGCCTTGAATGACAATTGTCAACTATCGTTAGTTATTTCCATAGGGCACTGCAACAATCTGAATAGCATCACTAGCAAAAGTGAATCACTTTATATCTGTATCGAGAGGCAACCCATCTAGATAACTAAGAGAATGCCTTCCTCAGCAGTTTGAAATTCTGCATAATTATTAGACGCAACTCCAAAGTGTTTAGTGAATACTGCCACAAATCTACCATTGCTATTTCTTATGACCCCACCCCCTCCTGCAAAACCAGGATTATGCAAGGATGTACCCTCAATATTCAACTTATAACACTGAACCTCAGGAAATGACCATGCGACTAGGACTGAGGATTTCGAATTCTTCTGGCGCCTGTTGATCTTCAATAATTTAACTTCTGCTAGGGCATTGACATGTGTAAAGCATGACTACATATACAGTCCAAAAAGTGTAAAGTATCTATCTTAAAGATGAATGCAAGTAGGTGTTCCCTCTAAAAGTAATGGAAACTAACGATCCAAATATTTTCTTACTAGAATTATTATTTTTGATTTTTAAAATTCATTTATTTTTTAATATTTATGATCACCATGTTAAAGATTACATGCTCTTAAAAAATTTAGTCAAAAAATTCATCTCAAAAATATATTTATTAAGATGCTTGCATTTCTATATATGCGGGAGAAGTGGACATGGCTCTTATTTTGCATTAGTAATATAGCAGTTCTGGTGCCCATAAGAGGTACGACTTTTACTGACCCTCAAAACCTGAAATTCATAAAAAATTATGTGGACCAGACAATCAGTTCGAATTTTTTTTTCCATTTTTTGAAATTTTCGTGTTTCTTCTTTTTTAATATCAAGAGCTGGTCAAGTGAAGAAAATTAAAAAACGAAAAAAATAAGTATTTTTTTATTCTTTTTTCCAAACATTAATTGTCCTCCTAAATTTGTAAATTCGAAAACCATCCCAAGAAGCAAACATCGCAGTTCCTCAGGCATTTCTCAAATTTGGCAAAAGAGAATTTGCATATTAGTAAGTGATATGAATTTAAATATTATTTATAAACTGGAAGTTTATAATTGGAAGTTTCAATACTATAAACTGGAAGTTTCAATTTACTAGAGCATTTTCTTATTTGATAATATTAAATGCTATGACAAACTGGCTATAGCACGTTCTAGGTTATAAAAAATTGAAAATCTACATCTTCCATCCCCCAATGGAATTTCGCTAATCTTGTTACTTAGAATTTTTTTTTTTTGGCATCCCATGTCCTTACCTCTCTCCATCTTCTTTCTCTCTCCAACCATGCCCTTCAAACTCTAACCATTCCTATCCTAACTCCTCTCTAATCATGGCTTTTTCTCTCTCTAACATGTATCTCTCAAACTCCTTACCTGACCATGCCCTTTTTTTTTTTTGGTAACTCGCTCTGACCATGTCGCTTCTTTCTCTAGGCATGATCTTTCTCTCTAAAAACCGCTTCTTTCTCTAGGCGTGATCTTTCTCTCTAAAAACCACCGCACTCTCTCTAAATGTATCTCCTCTCTCTCTCGAAACATGTCTCCTCTCTCTCTTTCTACGTCATTTTAAATCCTTTTGTTTCACTAATCATGCCCTTTCTCTTTCTAACTCCTCTAGCTATTCTCTCTCTAACTCATTCTCTCTATAATTGTATCCTCTCTCTTTCTTATCTTCTATCTACAATTATATCCTTTCTCTCTCTTTAACTCCATTCTCTCGAAATGTACCCTTTCTCTATTTAAATCCTTTATCTTTGAACATGTCATGTTTCTTTCGCTAAGACATCTCTCTAACTGCTCCCTCTGGTATAACTCCTATTTCCCTTTTTTTCTTAAGTACTCTCTCTCTGTATGTGGAATCTGTGAAGCTTTATTAGAACACTATGAAACCTTTTATATGTATTTGAGAATTTTCAGAAAGGTTGTTAAATAAGTATTCTTGAAGTTCTAGATATCAATATTTCCAGCTTCCAAAGACCTAGAACTTTCAACTTCAATGGAGTCCTCATCATCTAGTTAACAGAATTTTTGAAAAACAATTAGTTTTTATTATGGATATTGGGAAAGGTTTCATTCCAAAAATTGTTTTAAACAGCATTGCAATTCTATTATGCAATATGAATTTATTTATTGTTTACAACCAAATGACTGAACATGAAAATGCAATACAACATTTATTCATTTACACGTAAGTTAGACACTTCCAAAGGACATGGCATTTGGAAACCGTAAAATCTTTACAGCATTAAGTTTGGTTTCCAATGCTCCTATATACCTATTTGTTACATAACTACGTAAGGAGCTTTCAACTCACAAGTGTACTTTGGTAATTTCTTTAAGTTATTACTCTAATTTATCAAAAAAGTCTACTAATTCTATTTGTCTTATTCATTATTTATTATTTCATACGAGATTATTTTTCCAACATAAGCTTTTGATTTAGAAACCAAGCAATTTGCTGGTCTCAATTTTTTAAGATAAAGGCATGGCAGGTTATATCTCATACATGTGAGAATTTCTCATGTCAAATTCTAAAAAGAGAGAATAATATTGAATGACTAATTTATTAATTCTTATGCAACCAAAAATGGTAACCATTCCTCTAGGAACTCAGCTTGATTTCTTAGTAGCTCTTTATATGTATAAGCACAAGTATCATAAGTTCTTGTTAAAGCAATTACAGTTGTGGCCTGTTTTTCTAAACTATCCCACATTAGGCAGCAGACTCTTCTTCAATTGGGATTTTAAACCCATCTTAGAAATTCCTTCAGACATTACTATGCCTTTCTTGAACTTGTAAAAGATAACAATAATTGCTTTTCAAATTCATGGCTACTCTATGGAAGGCAAGCTATAGGTTATATTGAGTTTAGGAGTTTTACTATTAAAGAACATCTTGATATAACCTATTTACATATGCCATTTCACAAAATTCCATTAGCAAATAGGTCGTTCAAAG